CTGGAAGTTGAAGTCCACACATCTTATAGTGGCCAAGTTTGAGAAACACTGAATTATTATATTTTAATCCTTGTGAAACCCTTTCAGGTTTGCCCTTTTTTCAGCTTCATCCTTTATTTTTTTCCCAAGAAAATATGGTCACTGTACTTTAAGAGCTCCTGGACCTTTTCCTTCCTTCCTTCTCAGTAGAAGTTGCACAGACCAGTCGTGATGATGAATTAATTAAGTCTCCTTGGAGAACAGTTAACGCTTGTCCTTCATTGAGGGTGGGAGGGCCCAGTCGCTGCACGCTGCCTTTCAGACAACCCTGTTTAGAAACAGGCGGGTGCAGCGAGATGTAGGCCAGCTCATTTTATTTACTGATAAATATTTTGTGTATTGATTAGAATTACCTCCTGCCTTTCAGTCAGCAGGACTGAAAGCAGCGTGTGCGATGCTCCCTCCTGCAGTTTTCTCACAACAACCTGGTGAGGTTGGCTGGGGTGAGAGAGCAGGATGGGCTCAAAGTCCTCCAGGGAGTTCCCATGGCTGAGGGGGGCTTCAACCTGGACCTCCCCCCTCCTAGTCCAGCACCTTCCCCAAGGGGCCACATCGGCCCCCAGTACAGATGTTGGATTATTCTTTCATCTTGGCCAACTCTGGTCCAGACAAGCTCCAAAACCCTTTACCCTTGTAAAAACCACTGTCGAAATTGTTAAAGTTGGGTGTATCAGTAAGCAAGTGTGGGTGGGCACTCCCCCCCTTTCTTTCTGTGTCACACACCCACATGCACACACACATATTGTGAAAACCCATTTCCAGGTGCATAAAACTGTTACCTTCTTTTCTGGAGTGACAGCTTGCCCCTTTCTTTTAAAGAAGCTTCTGGGGCAAAGGTAAAACAGGGAGAGGACCTTTTTGAAGGTGAGGGTCTCTTTGCGAAGGGGGGTGTCCAACGCTGCAGCGGCCCAGGAACTCTTGTAATGAAGGCATCAGAGAGAGGTGGGAGTGGGATATCCTGGCCAGAAAGCAGAGATCAACTAGGCAAAATCAGAGCAGGCTAATAGTTGGATGGGAGACCACCAGGAAATCATGTGGCAGTCAGCTAGAGTGAGAAATTGAAAAACAGGCTCTAGAAAGGACCAACAGCAAACTAAGACTGAAGCTCAACTTGAAGAAGACTTCATCTGTGGAAGGGAGAGAATTGTGTATACTACATAGATACTTTAAGTTAATCTTTGGATCCCTTGCGTCTTCCAAGCCTCTCCATTCTTGCTTGTTTTCTGTTCCCCTTCCCACCTTAAGTGCCACCGAGTACTCGGTTTTCACTTGGGGTCTTTAGGGAATGTCCTCTGGAGGTGTTGGGCCCGTGTGATATCTTTCTTCCTGCCTGTGGATAAGGATGTATTTTCCACCTCAGCTCTCCCCGTGTTCAGAGAAAGATGGTCCCATCAGGATCTTCCCACTGGCTTAGCCTGACACCCTCCAAGTGGAATATCGGCTTCCATAACTCTGAGCCAGCGTGGGCTCTCTGGGATGGGGGGTGGGATGGGGGACCATCCCTTCTGGTGTGAACCAGACTGAAAGGCTGTTTTGCTCCTCATTCAGAGTCGCTGGGAGTTGGGCGGCATATAAATTTAATAAATTATTATGATGATGGTTGGTTG